AAAATCCATTCCTTTTGGAAAAACATACTCTATACTCTAGCCACCAGACATTTGCTGAGGTTTTACCAAATTGTCACTTGCCTAATCTTGGCGAAACTTTGAGGTTGGAAAGAAAAGGTATCAAGATCAATCCATATAGTTCACTTGGAGATATCAAGATAATTTTAGTTTACCCCTATGATTTAGCAATCAGTGTTGGAAGTAACGGTGTTAAAGACATACTGAAGAAAGATGATATGACAAGCATCGTGCAGCTGTTCTTAAATAAGACAAAGGAACGTCTAAAACTGTAAGTTTTGATTAAGGGAGACACTTTAGAGGGCCAAAACGATGGKYTATATGTTTTACGAGATTTGTTGACAAAAGTGGATGGATACATATTTATTCACGATTACCAATKAACGGGTATCATTTAATAATCACTTTAATGCGTCCGATTTTTCGGCAGGAAATCCCTAAGTCATTGCATATCGATTGATGATAGCTGTTTAATTTATTGAAAATTAACGAGATTGAGATTCGATTGTCGTTATACTTTTGTCCAATCTTATGGATGATCACGCACTATTATCATATAGATATGGTCAATTGTTGGTCTCGAGKGAAACGGTTTGTTTCCCGAGAGAATCTCAATTTCTTTTGAGGGATTATTCATTAAGGTTTTGTTCTTTAGCTAGTCATATCAGAGAAGTCAATTCGAAATCACCATGGATTTTTTTTTATCTATCATTTAATGACAGATTTGATAYTGTATAATTTTATGGTCTTTCCCCTTTTGGCAGAGCATAGCCTCTGAATTATCCTATCGCATAATTGCGTCACACCACCGTTTTAACGGTAAGGATTGTGGCCGCCAGATCTCTAGAGGGGATGATAAGATTGACTGCATATCAAATAAAATGTAGATGAGCTATCGTTAAAAAAGGATGTACATCAAACCTCGATACACTAAAGTTCTACTTTCGGAAAGAATGTTTATAGGTCTAAATTTCGAGTCTTTCTGAGAATCTATCCAAAATGTTAAGATATAGTGGCGTCATTATGCCAAACGATGGCTTTGAGTCTTTTGACTGTGTAATCCAGATCGGCTGCTCAGCCTAGGTATATACTATTTTCACGTTTCCTGCATCTGTGTTCTGAGCTTCACCATTCACTTTTCTATTGAGAGAAAATATGTTATGAGGGTTTAAAAAAAATTTGACTTTTGATTCTTCAGGAATATCGCATTAAAGTCCATAGTCAATGTGGAAAAGTCGAGCTATTTCAACGGGAGTCGATTCCTTWTYGAGCTGGACTTGTCAACACCATCAAACGACACCTTCCATATCTCTGAGTACATCTACCATGACAATGACAACACTATCTGCTTCCTGACTCCATGGAAACGACATGTTACGGTTACGTTTGTTATAACAGCTAAAAACCAAGGCAAATGGATCCACGTTTTTCTMGACAACATAGCTTCGATGATAGAACGAACACAAGACAAAAATATCAAGGCAATTATCTTTGACTACGAAAGCAAGGAYATTGATMTTCMAGGAGCAATTGCTTGGCGTGGTCTGGAAGATAAAGTGAAGTTCMTAAGAAAGAAAGGRCGGTATTCTCGAAGAGAATCTTTCAACTTKGCAGTTCAGCAAGTTACAGATCCTCACAGCATTGTGTTTYTGACAGACTTGCACTTAACCTTGGGTGAAGGATTGGTAAACAATATCAGGAAGGTACTGTAAAATCTTCTAAAGCAAGCTATTTATGCCTCTATTCCTTTCTCTCCTCTCCTTCCATTCCTTTCCTCTCTATTCCTTTCCTCTTCACACTATTGAGTGGAGTTGTCATAACAGTGTAGAGACACCAGTCTAGTTCCCAGTCGTTCTACTCTGGGTTGGGAAGTGGTGGGGTGAGCACGTAAGAGAGTCACTGTGACGTCATTACAATCTCAGAAACGAGGAACGCCTGTGGACTAGGCTGTAAAGACACATATCGAGGCATGGATGGTCCAAAAATCCATCACCGTCAAAGGTCATTACTGTCAGGGCGGATGTAAAATCCGCTGCCTCTCTCTTATTTAGTGCGTTCTCTCTAATAATATGTTCCTTGAATCTCACCGCAGCATACTATCGAAGGCCAATTTGTCTACACTCCAGTGATCGTGCGACTATGGGGAGACACAACTCCTCACAATCGAAAACCAAACGAAGCGAACTATGGCTACTACGAGTACCTTGGCTACGGGTTGGTGGGAATCTACAAATCGGACTGGGATCGCGTAGGAGGGTTCCCCGACTCCTATTTTGGAAAACAAAAAAAATATGTCTGGGGAGGGGAGGACTGGGAGTTTATGGACAGCGTGTATAAGCAAGGCTTGCAATGTTATAGGATAAAATGCCCGTATGTGTATCACTATGCACACAGTAAAAAAGGGATGTGGGATGAAGACACGACAAAGAAGTAACTAAGGTAATACTGATTGCAAACAAGGCCGCCGTCTGCCAGTATCAAAAATAAATAAAATATATATATATAAAAAAACGAAAAAAATGGCTGAGTTGTTTTTTTCGTCAATCTCATACTGAATCTCGCTGCACTCCGCAATCTACCCTCCGGTATTACACTTCGAACCGAGATTTAATACTTGGAGCTTTTGTTTTGTTCCCCAGATAAAGCTGCTTAACGATACATGTCAAGGGACCAAGCGAAATTAAGAAGAGTTTTTATATCAACTGTGGACTGACAAGTAACGTGGGCACTGGCACGGGAGAGTTTGTTTATCATGCTTGCTGTGCAACGAAATACATGTCGTCATGTACTTTGTTCACAGTTCAAGTAAAAACCTAAGGTAATCATTATTATTCATTAGGTATTTGTTTGTTGAAAGTTCGAAGTGTAAGATCGAAAGGGCACAATAAACATGTAATAGGCAATGTGTAGCGAGCCTTATTGTGGAATAAAGGATGATAAGAATGGCAGTACTGGCAGGCGTTTTTTTTTCGCTTGTAAAATTCACTGGAAAAGTTGATAAATTTACAGAGTTTACTGTAAATTATTCAATGTCGCGAAGTGTTGTCCTTTTGAAATTTTTGTAAATTGAATTTACAAGATATTTACAATGTTTGACCAAGCACAATTGCAAGATATTTACAGAATGCACATAAAATTTACAAGCTTTGTAAAAGGACACCTTGTCTGAAAATTAAATTTACAGTTCATTTGCATATTATTTATAAACTCTGTAAACTAAAACGGCTAAACTACTTCTATTTCCGCGCAATCGTAATCGCAATCCAAAAGCATTTTTCATCGGGTTTCATTGGGTTATTAAAAGTGTAACTGTTATTCAATTTTTTTCGTTGTTCTATCGCAATTTATGGTGGACCAAGAAATATGGTACTCGACCCCGTTTTGGATAGGTACGTGCCGCCAGCGATCTAAATCCCTGACCCTGTTTAAGACACTAGAAAGTGAAAATCCATACCCTGTTCAAGACAAATCGGAAAAATAAGGAATAGCAATCTGCGCCGCAACCATCAAAAGTGCAATTATACTGACTTTATCCTGGGACAGTGAAACGGTATTTTTATTATTTCTACGGTATTTCTTATAAAATGTTACCCTGTCTAAGACACAAAAAAAATATATATCGGTCTTTTATCTAAATTGTCGAGCCTGTTTAAGACAATTTCGGGTGAAATGTATACCCTGTTTAAGACAGCAAGGCCAAAACCATACCCTGGCCAGCGGCACGTCCCCGTATAGCAAATATATGGGAGTGCCCCCCCCCCCCCGGGATATGGTTGCTATTACATTGATGAGTACCTCTTTACAAAAAATGACTCACGACCGGCGATGTTACGGTTGAAAGATATATTTCTTTATAAAACACACAGCCGACATTTTCTTTTTTCGACCGCTTTTTACAATTCAAAACCTTCCAGAAAAGAAAAAAAAATGACTGGCAATTTGACAAAGGTAACCCAACCTTAAATAGAGCGAGCTTGCAAGTGAYTTACATCTAAGTTCTCCTATGACAAACAATATATCCCAAGGAGAATTAGGACAGTAATCAGTTGTTTGGTGAGGGTGAAGCAGTTGGTTGAAGATCGTTGATCTGCTCAATGGTAGTTACAAAGCCTTGTAGTGAAATCTTGTACTGAGTTGTGACGTCAGCTTTGACGGTTAACTGTCGATCAAAGAATTGAAATTACCAATCAATCAACCAATCAGTCATTTAATAATTCAATCAATAATTGCCGATTTGCGAATTTCGCTTCAGTAGTCTAAAAAAAAGAAAAGAATCAAGACGAGGCGCGTAAATCCCAGTTAATTGTGAAAAACTATTGTGTTTTCACGAGTGACTGAGCTTTATATGCACGGCGCCTCGTCTTGATTCCTCTGTGTGTGACTACTGAGGCAAAATTCGCAATTCGGCTATTCATCAATCCATTATTCGTTTTAATCAGTCCATTCTTCAACCCATACATTTTTCATTAACCAATCGATAAATCCCAACATAGATTAATTGTTTAACCAATCCATCATCCAATCAATTGATCGGTCCTAATCATTCCTATCGAATTCCAAAGATAGAAGACCGGAGGCCATGTTGGAGGAATGAACAGTAGATACTAATGAGAAACTCTTTGTCGAAATTCATCCAAGATGGCCGCTGTGTCGTATAGTGAAAATGAGGAAAAAATTAATCCATAAATTAATCACTCATCCAATCAGTCCATCTAAACAATGAATACAACTACCATATCAACATCATCACTTACCACAGTATTAGTATTTATAGGTGTATTTGGCTGCAAGGAATTAAAAGATAATTAAAATACAGCTGTTCTCAGCAGGTATTCACTATTGACCATATGAAAAACGAGCAGAAGACTGGGAATGAGCACCTTAAATATTTTTAAACGTTATTAAAAATCTGTTTTCACCATAAGAAAGATTACATCTAAACTAATAAATTGGCAGAGTTTTAGTTTAAAATGTTGAATATTAGCAGAGGTACAAGCATTTGAAATGTACCAAAACATGAAAACGAGCTAGGTAAGGCCTGAATACTGATTTCAAATTTCACTTAAACCTTTGCAATTTCCAACACCTTTAATTTCTGGTACTTAAATGTTAGATAATTGAAACTTTCAGATCTTACTCATTATGATATGTTCTTTCAACGGGTAGTAATGATATATTATACAACTTATAAACTAAGGCGTTATGATAGACACGCCATTTTTCAGATGGTCTTACATGTGAAATCTTAAAAAGTACGAAAAAAGGTTCACTTTTGAAAGAGTTATTTTTGTAGGGAGTATCGGACTACCCTTCTCTCTACATATGTGTATATGCATATCAAATATACTTACATCGTGTCCAGGGGGTGGCTGCCATCGACATGTAATCGTTTTCTTTGATCCGATATCCACCCCAGCCTAAAACCAAACATATCACGTGATAAGATCAGATGTGTCATGAGTCAAATGATTGTACTAGTATAACAAATGTTAATAAATAGTTAAACGCGAAATAGTGCTCTTTATTGTTCTGTGCGCCATCTAGAATTGTAGCCGTGCCTCAACATCGAAGCGAGACGAGCTTTGAAAGAACAATGATAGAGGACCTCTTTCACACCTACCGACAATTATTCACAGGTATCTATCATTAGATGCTCAACTGACGCTCGTCAGTTCGCGTCGATGCAAAGGCAGGACTACCCTCCAAGGTGTTGCAAGGAACCGTGCTATTGCAAACATACATGTAGGGCCAGGGACAAATGCCAAACTTAATTCTGTTCAGACTTCTTTAATAATTTTTATAATCAAGGTTTTAAAGGGAAGCGTTTTAGGGCCAGGTTGTYGCTCCTAATGTGTAAATGAGCTGACTGCATTCTGCAATAGAAATGGTACGGCAGAAGGTACGACTTAGTGTACATATGATCGTCCCAAACGCGTGTTTCTATTGTTCTAGCTTCCTCAAGGGTTCAAAAACAATAGAAAGACGCGTTTTCGGGCCATTGGGACGATTTGTGTGATTTAGATAGATCGACGATACATCCCGGCAAAATGAGCTCATACAAACCTTCATCGGGTCAAAGGTAAACCCTTTTTCGTTGGCTTCCTTGGGGTTTTCAAAGAAATAATCAGATGACTGAAAAAAAATATCAAGCTAACGATAACTGAATAGCATAACACCAAGGTGAATACTCCGCACTCAGCGGTGACTGATTGCGTGACACACACGTGATGCGTGAATCGTTGCGTGACAGCAGAGAAGGCGCGCGAAGCCGCGTTATGCATAACCTAGCGATGAGTGGCTACTAGTGTTGGTTTGACTTCGCTTAAATATTATATTTAATCACACTAAGAAGAGAAGAAGTCCCAATATTCAAGCCCAGTCGTATAGATACGACTCTCTCAGAATCAAACAAGCTGTCTAGTCCCCTTGAACACTATAATGCCTTGAATAGTATATAACGAACGCATTTGCAAAAGCCAAGTAATGCGCAGTGACACTAATTAAATCGAAAAACAAAACAAAACGAAAGAAAAGAAAAGTCCAAAAGAAAAGAAAAGAAAAGAAAAGAAAAGAAAAGAAAAGAAAAGAAAAGAAAAGAAAAGAAAAGAAAAAAGAAAAGAAAAGAAAAGAAAAGAAAAAAGAAAAGAAAAGAAAA